GAGAGAGAATCAGGGTTCTACAGCCGTTACTTCATGGTTCCAAAGAAGGATGGGGGGTTGCGTCCGATCATAGATCTGTGTCTACTGAACCTCGCTATCAAACGATTTCGGTTCAAGATGCTTACTATCAAACAGATTGTGTCCCAAATCAAGTCCGAGGACTGGTTTGTCACGATAGATCTCAAGGATGCATCCATCCTTCCTCAACACAGGAAGTTCCTGAGGTTTGCTTTCGGGAGCGAAGCATACCAGTATCGGGTTCTTCCATTTGACCTGTCACTCTCACCCCGCACTCTCACGAAGTGTGTGCATGCTGCCCTGGCTCTGTTGCGACTCCAGGGCATCCACATACTGAATTACATCGACGATTGGTTGATATTAGCTCAGTCAGAGCAGATGGCGGCTCGGCATCGAGATGACATCCTCGCCCATATGAAAGAGCTGGGGTTATGGCTAAACGCCAAGAAATGTGTACTACAGAGAACCACTTATTTGGGTGTGGTGTGGGATTCAACAACGATGCAGGCACAGTTGTCTCCTGCTCATATCAAAGTGATTCTCACAGCTGTGAGGGGAGTGAGAGAAGGCCAGTTACTCACTGTCAAACAGTTTCAGAGACTGTTGGGTCTGATGGCAGCTGCGTCCAACGTGAAAACTTTTGGCCTGCTGTACATGAGACCCTTGCAGTGGTGGCTCAGGGCCAAGGGGGAACCCGCTTCACACAATCAAGGTCACGCTGCAATGCTTACGTGCCTTAGAAATGTGGAAGAAACCTTGGTTCCTGTATCAAGGCCCGTCGCTGGGGGCTTCTTGTCTTCGTGTAACACTAACAACGGACACCTCCCTCACGGGTTGGGGAGCGGTCATGAGTGGCTGCTCTGCTCGAGGTCTGTGGGAAGGCCATCATCTCACGGGGGACATCAACTGCCTGGAGATGTTGGCCGTGTTTCAAGCTCTAAAACACTTCCTTCCAGACCTAAGGGGACATTAGGTGCTTGTTCGCACAGACAACACATCGGTGGTCTCCTACATTAGGGATTCTCAACCTTTTTTACTCAGGGGCCCCACTCTTTCTCCGGTCAATTTTGCAAGGCCCCCCTATGCCTGACATTTCCTCTTATACTGTACTTCCACAGCAAAAAGAAAAGTGTTTATTTTTAACCATTTTTTTATTAACCAAAACATTTGTTTTGCCTTATTATTCTTCTACTGCATTATTTAAAAAAAACTCAAAATTCAGACAAAATTTTAATAAAAGCTATACTTTATAACTAAAAAACCCTCTGCTCTCTCTCTCTCTCTCGCTCTATATATATATAGAGAGAGAGAGAGAGAGAGATTTAAATCTCCTGAATTATTTACATGCTTTACAACTTCAGAATACTTTTTCTTAAATAAGTGAACCTGCCATACCAAACAGGACAACAGGGAGATGCCAAAAGATCACTCACTAAACCTGTCCCTTTGAACTGGACTGACTGAATATCTACTGTTTGCATCCATTAAAAAAATAAACATACAAATGAAAAATACAGCAATATACATTCTAAATCTGTTGAAACACATCGATCTGAAGGCAGTTCAATGAAGACGGGATCAGTGAACAGTTCCTCCGTCAGAGCGCGTCTGATGCTCATATGTGCAAAAACACCACTGAGCCTCACAAGATCCTCCTCTATGGGTGAGCATCCATTATAAAACACTCAGGATATTAATTTGGACAACTATGCAAACACATTGAAATTTCACGCAAAAATACGATAGGGATCAGAGCCCCGAGAGTGTGCATAGTTTGTGAATCAATAATGCGTGCCTAATGTACGACTCTGATACACAGGAATGTCATACATTAGACACGCGCAAGTTCGTTATTATTACTCTAATCATTTTTACCTTTTGAGATGTAGTTTGCATGCAGCAGTTGGAAGTTTTGAGCCGCCATTCAGTCTGTATTTAACAATGCGATGAGGCTTGCTGTGCAGAGTTTGAAGCAATCAATCAAGAACATGAGAGAGGCCGTGCTTTGATCATTTTAATTTAACACATTAATAATTAAATTAAACAATTATAGGATAATATTTAAATTAATTTTAATCCATCTCGCGGCCCCCCTGGAGGATCACTGAGGCCCCCTAGTGGGCCACAACCCCTCCCCCCGGTTGAGAACCCCTGTCCTACATCAATTGGCAGGGGGGTCCGCGCTCGCGCCCCCTGTACAGGCTGGCACACCAGGTCCTCCTGTGGGCTCAGGGAAAGCTCCTCTAATTAAGAGCAGTCTACATCCCTGGGCATCTCAATCAGGGAGCAGACATCCTGTCGAGACAGGAGCTGAGGCCCGGGGAATGGAGGCTCCTAGCAGAGGTGGTGGAGCACCTTTGGAGGGAGTTCGGCCAGGTGGAAGTGGATATATTTGCATGGCAGGAAACGACACACTGTCCGCTCTGGTTCTCCCTCACGCATCCAGCTCAAGCGGTACCATGGTACAGACATGGCTGAGGCATCGTCTGTACGCATATCCCCCGATCGCTCTGCTCCCGGGAGTTCTGGAGAGAGTACGTTGGGATGGGGTCCGTCTTCTGCTAGTAGCCCCATTCTGGCCAGCCCGAGTAAGGTTCTCGGACCTTGTGTCCCTCCTCGACGGCTCTCCGCTGGAGATTCCCATCAGGAGGGACCTCCTCTCTCAGGCGGGGGGCACCATCCTTCACCCCCACCCAGAGTTATAGAAGTTATGAGCGTGGTCCCTGAGGGGGCACAGCTCATAGCATCCGGTCTCTCAACTGAGGTTGTTGAGACCATACTCCAGGCCAGAGCTACCGCCACGAAGAAACTGTACGCCTTGAAGTGGAGACTTTTCACTTCTTGGTGCGGACAACGACTGCAAGACCCAGTCAACTGCCCAGTTGGTTCAGTTCTGGAGTTTCTGCAGGAGCGATTCTCCGCAAGGTTATCTCTTTCCACTCTGAAGGTTTACGTGGGGGCCATAGCTGCTTACCACGCACTTCAGGGTGGTCAGTCAGTGGGAAGACTGACGCTAGTTACACGCTTGCTCCGTGGCACCCGGAGGCTAAGGCCAGTACAGCGCACCAAGGTGCCTGGCAGTGGTTCTGGAGGCTCTGTGCAAAGCTCCCTTTGAACCCATTGAAGATATCTCGGACAAGCTCCTCACACTTAAGACAATCTTCCTGCTCGTTATATCCTCGTTGAAGAGGATAGGGACCTCCAGGCACTCACCGTATCGTGCCTGGAGTTTGCCCTGAGCATGGCTAGGGCGTTCCTTTAGACCCGGGTATGTCCCTAAAGTGCCCACTTACTCGCCGGGTCCCATTGTACTGCAAGTCTTTTGTCCTCTTAATTTCCAGGAAGCAGGTCAGGAAAGACTCAATCTGCTCTGTCCAGTGCGAGCACTGGACTCTTACGTTCACAGAGCTACCCAGTGGAGTAAGGCAGATCTGTTGTTTGTTTGCTTTGGTCCACCTAAGAAGGGGGTTCCAGTGACCAAGCAAACTATGAGTCGGTGGGTGGTTGAGACCATCACACTGGCCTATGATTCCTCTGGCCTCCAGTCTCCTATAGGGGTCAGAGCGCACTCGACAAGGGTATGGTGGCCTCCAAGGCCTTATCAGAGGGCGTGGCCCTTCAAGATGTTTGTGCTGCGGCAGGCTGGTCCTCTCCGCACACATTCATCCGTTTCTACAGTCTGAACTTGACATCTACCCCAGGGTCCCAAGTTCTCTCGTCTTGATGTGCTCGCCAGATACACATCAGACAGAGACTTGCTCGCATGGCGCAGTGGGTATTCTCGTTCCCAAAGCGTTCGGCACAGTTCGAGTTCCTGAAGGGGAACGTCTCGAGGCTACTTATGTAACCATGGTTCCCTGAAAGGAACGAGACGCTGCGTCTCCCTGCCATACTCCCTGCATCCCTGCAGGTGCTCGCTTCCGCAGAAACTAACATGTGCGCTTGCCGAATGCGCCTTTATGCTTCCTGGTTGCTCACGTCACCCCACTCATGACATCTTGCTTCGCTATTGGACTGATTTCACACATGCTTCAGAACGTGGTCTCGCCAGGGCGTTTCCCAAAGAGTTCAACACAGCGTCTCGTCCTCTTTGGGGAACCATGGTTACATACGTAACCTTGAGACATTTTTTTCTAATTAATGTATTGTGGAAACCACGATATACTACCATATAAAAGTCTGTGGTACAGTAAGCAAGAAAAAACTGAAATTCAAACGTTTATTGAGCAGGGATACATTAAATTGATCAAATAAATTGATCACAATAAGATAATAAAGACTTGAATAAAGTTACAAAAGATTTCTATTTTAAATAAATGCTATTCTTTGACCTTTCTTTAAAAAAAAGAATCCTGGAAAAAAGTATTAAGGTTTCCACAAAAATATTAAGCAGCAAAAACTAAATAATATGAGATGGGAGGAAAAACTATATTTCACTGAAAAAAGGTCCATATGACTTGCTGTATGTCCAAATAACTTGCTATATTACAAGTCTTCTGAAGTCACATGATAGCAGTTGTGTGTGGAACAGGCCATCTTGATATCCATCCTTGCTCTCCTTGGTAGATCCATGAGAGCTCATGAGAGAAGCAAGATTCATACGGGTTTGAAACAACATGAAGTTGAGTAATAATGACAGAACTTTCATTTTTAAGATTAATTATTACTTTAATTTGTATTTAACTTGGAATATTTCTGACGTTTTAAGACACTATCTTTAATTACACATATGTAGACATTATTTTACCTGCTGGATTTGTTTGGCAGTTGACTGATACTGTTTGACTCCTCACGGCTCCAGAAAATGATGATGCTGTCACTTTGTACCACTGGGCAGCTTGCAGGCCATTGATCTCCTGTCTTATTGTTTTTTCTGAACTATGTGATTTGTTGAAACTTTGTCTATCAACATCCACCTGCACCACATCCACAACTCCATATGGAGGATCCCAAATTACAGCCAGACCATACCCTCCAGAATGATATTCACAGCGGAGATGAGATACACTATTTGGAACTAGTTTGAGAGGGAAAAAGAAGGACAAAAATGTAATTGAATATCAGCTGATCGGTGGCACAATCCAAAAAGAGCATATAAACTCACCTAATGTCAGGCGGTGTGAGCATTGTAGCAGCCGCTCTGACTCCAAGTCATAAAACAGTGAAACAGTGTAGCTTCCTCCAGGATACAGGTCTTGCAGATTCACCCTGTTGTCATTTAAAGGGTAATTTTTATCACTTCCAGTGCTGTTTTGAGCTTTCACATATGTGCAACCATTCACTTCAGCCTCTATTGATGAGTTGGTAACTTTCCAGTTAAAGGATGCACAGTCAAGGGCTGCAGAAAACATAAGAACATATGAATGCCGATTTCAAACTGAGTTGGAGTCTTACTCTTGGGGTCTTAATCTTGACATAAGTGGTACAGGACTTTAGGTAACATGTTACTGCATCATTGTTACACGTTACATTTATTTACCAAAGTAACAACAGTAAATTATTTGTGCTGTCAAATGATTAATCGCTATTAATCACATCCAAAATAAAAGTATTTTTTTACATAATATATGTGATAACAGCATAATATATGTGTGCTGTGTATATTGATTACGTATATACTGTAGATGCATGTATATATTTAAGAAAAATGTTTATATATTAAATATAGTTATATGTAGCGTCTGGACCACTCAAACACACAATATATATTTTGTTAGCTAGATTTAAAAAATACTCTGTAACACCCCAGGAAGCTGAACAGGCCCCTGGTTCCATAGCAATGCTGACACCCGATACATTTACGACCTCCTGGAATTTAGGTGAAGAAAATCGCTTCCTTGCCCATAAGGAAAATCCACAAGGGAAGGACTTTTCTTTGCTAATTAATTAATAGGAAAACCTTTCTTTGAATGAACACACATGATCCTTCAGGTCATTGGGTATATTATTGTCATCGTGTATTTTGTCTTTGAAATTGTATACTGTGATGCAGGCTTATAATCAAAACACTCTCCTATCATCCTTTCACTATATGTAACTTGTGTGTATTTATATATACATAATAAATATACACAGTACACACACATATTATGTAAACAAAAACGTTTATTTTGGATGCGATTAATCACGATTAATTGTTTGACAGCACTATAAATTATGCATAATTATATGCAAGTAACCCTAAATCAAACCCTAGTCCTTACACTAACCTTATAGTAAATACATATTGTTAATTAATATCACTTAATATTTAAATGTATAATTACACTGTAACAATGGCGCCTTTCAGTAAAGTGTAAACAGACTTTAACTATTTTGATATTACTGAGCCACAAATTAAATTTGGCACAAGTACTACAGCTTTCTTTAGAGAAAAAAAAATGATATATGGTTAAACCTCAAAGACTCACTTACCAGTTACATCAGAAAAGTTCAATCCTTTGCTTGTATAATTCTCAAACACAGTGTAGAGTGTGAACGAGTAGTTAGTCCCAGGAGACAGAGACGAGACTGTATGATTTAAATAATCAGTTTCTGATGCACTGATTGGAAAGACTTCAATGCCATTTGTTGCCAGTATATAACTGTAATTGCTGTTTTCAACTTTCCATTCAAATGTTAATTCAGTCTCTGTTCGACGAATTACTGAAACATCCTTAACATCAGGGATTTCTGCCTGAGGAAAGAAATTACATTCATTTTAATAATCAAATGTTCTATAAAACAGCTAGACTCCAAAACAATCACAACAGATATGTTTGATGACCAGCTGAATTGTAAAGGCATCGCAAATACTGCAATGCTCTTTTAGGCCATCTCTCAGCATGTGCAATCAAACATCTGGGAGTCTCCAATGAACCAATAATTCCCCCCTTAATTGTGAATCTCTTCACTATTATACTTATTATATAAATGAACAATACATAGTATTACTTTGGAGCAGGAAATGTTGCTTAATAATATATTTATGGGGGAAGCATCACCCCAAGCTCAGCAAGTGAGGAACCAGAGGAAAATGACTGTAGATACGTGTATTTTATTTTTTATTTTTTTTAAAGCGCTGCTTGTACTTGCTTAGAATAATAGGACTATATTTTAATCCCTTGTGTCCATTTGAGCGCTCAGTCGTAACCTTCCAATCACCACCGAAGTGATTGTTTTTTTGTTTTTTTTTAAATGAACATAGCTTGATCTCAGCCAGTTGATCATGTTTAATCAACACGTCATATCACCCTAATTTCTCATGCTCATATGCTCACATTACTCAGCGTGAGCACATATTCAAGCAGATCAGAAATGATGAATCTCTAATAAGTATTGAGTGGCAGTCCAGCAGGGGAAGCATACACCCTGTGAAAATACTTCGAATGACTGTCATTAATATTACATTCTTATATATATAGAAGCCATTAGGAGCGATAAACGCGTGCTTCTGACGCAGCTGAAATCAACCGCACACTCACACAGCTAATGAAAACATCAACCTTAGAAATAAACAACCGTAACAGAGAGATTATACCGCTGAATACAGCGAACCCCAGTTGAAACGCATACACGAGAATGCTTGTTTCATTTAAACTTGTTCTCATGGCCTTAACTATCGGCGTGTCCTCAGAGCGATTACATGCTCTAGACTATGTGTTGCTCCAGCTGTATGAACACAGATGCGTAAATGTTGCTCCAAATATGCTTTTTTCAATTAGCAGACCAGGATATATCCACAGCGATATGGATTAAAACAGCATTCACTTATCTTAGATGTGGATTTCAGATGTTCTGAAACACGCTGCAAAAGTTGATTTGCAAGCAGCGATGCTTAATTTGCTCCGGAGCAAGCTGAAAAGCTGCTGAATAATACTGAATAGAGCTTATATAGGAATGCCGCGATAGGTGTCGTATTCCTATAGGTAGATGTGATCAGCTGAGAATCAGCTGATGCAAGCTTGACTCACGTGACCTGCCAGAATTGACGCTAACGCTTAATTTGACTTTGCAAGTGCATGTTAGTTTATTCCACTAACCCTAGTAGTAAGTACCCTACGGAATATGACAAAATGATTAATGGCTTTGACATTTTGACCTTTTCCCTCCCCCACGCGGCCCACCCACGTTGTTTGACCCCTGACCTCATAATGACATCCAGATGTGAAAATTGGCATGCGTGAAATTCTGACGTCAACCTTTGAGTTCCGGAGAGGAAATATGTTGTTTGTACAAATGTTTGTAAGTGTCCGACGATAACAGGAGATAAATTAAGTCCTGAGGAATGTTTTTGAAGATTTTATGGTCCGTTCCCACATCCGTGGGGTTTACTCATCTGGGGTCTGCATGCTCAGGTGTCCGGTTGCTGCCTGTTATGCTCTCTCTCTCTGTATGGGCGATGTGAGAAAAGAAGGATGTGGTGATGGTCAATAACAGAATAAATAAACAATTTTAACAGATTGTGAGATCATATCACAATGTGTGTTTGTGCTCGCACATATAATTTGTTGACTGTTTAAAGGGGTCATATGATGCCCATTTTCCACAAGTTGATATGATTCTTTAGGGTCTTAATGAAAAGTCTGTAACATAGTTTGGTTAAAATTTTTCAATGGTAGTGTAAAAAACACCTTCTTTACCCTGTCAAACAGCTCTTTTCAGAGCACGCAGTTTTGTAGTATTTTCCTTTAAATGTTAATGAGCTCTGCTGAGCCGCTCTCAGAGAGACTGTTTACTTTAGCCGCATTCATCGTGAAACTTGCTAATTAGCACATTATTAGGAAAGGCGATTTGCAAAGATTCGTTAAAAAAACCTTCTGTAGATGAGGCTGGATCACGAATGATTCGCACGAACATAGATGCATTTATGTAGATCGGGGACGCATTCCCTTCAGAAACAAAGATAATCCACTGCGTCTTCAGTGGCTCAGATGTCAGGAGTAAATGACGACTGCTATATTCATTATTACATCCAACAACAGAACACCTCAATCGCTTAGGAGTCATTCTTGTCTACATCTGCTCCAGTGGTCAAACAATGGCGGACTGATGACAGCTCACTCAGGGCAGGTCTAAGGTAAGACGCCAGTCCAGTCTGTGCTGAAACATTACTGTCAATCAAACTATCAAGGGAGTTGCCTGTTTTTGTGATGTCACACAAACAGGCATCTGAGATCGGCTCGATTTGAAAAAGGGTTAAAGATAAGGGTCATGATCCCCTGACATGTCCAGACATGTCATCGTCATGTTTTATGAAGGCTTTCCATAGTCACAATTCAATTAAATTCACATTAATTTTTTATAACTTTTTCACAAAACAAATTGCCGCAACGCAGTTTCACAGAAAAATGTAAGTTTCTACATTATATTTAGAAACTTTTATATTCATATTTACATTATATTAATGATTTTTATACAGTATCACCACCTAAACCTACCATCTGTCATGGTGTGTGGAGGCAGGTAGGACGACGAGTATAGGGCAGATAACGAGGGGCAGACAGGTGAGCACAATGAGGTGATTAACTAATAATTAGTACGGGCTAAACCAACAAAAGGGGAAGAAACCACAATGAACAGTCCACAGGGGCGTTACATTACTCCCCCCTCCCGGAAGGTGAGTCCTCGCACCGTAGAAACAGAGGGAGGAGGGGGACTAGGAGGAGGACAAAGCAGATGGTGACAGGGGAAGGCAAAGGGCTGGCAGGCAGACCCGACAGGTGGAGGTTCTGGCAGAGGACGGACTTCCAGGAGGAGGACAGCTAACAGAGTCCAGGCAGGTGACGATGGAGGGAGGAGCCAGGGAGACGACAGGAGGGAACCGGAGCAGGAGGAGGAGCCAGGTGGGACCCAGGCCACAGCCATAATAGTGACCCACGGTGGAGCCGACGGAGGGAGGAGTGTCCACCGACTCCAGGGGGCCGACCAACGGCGGCAGAGCAGGTGGTGGAGGAGCCCGAGGTGGAGACGGAGAACCAACGAGCCAGGGGGATGCCGAGGATCCGGGGGGCCAGGGTGGAGCCGAGGGCTTTGGCGACCAAGGCAGAGATCCGTGGCGTAGCCAGAGTGACCGAGGACCAAGGTGGAGCTGGCGGGAGGAAGGAGCCCAACGGAGCCGGTGGGACAGAGCAACGAGGTGCAGCCAGAGGAGTGGAGTCCAGAGGCG